CAGAAGGAAAATTTCACCTCTGCCACCTTATGCCCCAGTTGAAATCAGCTCAGAACCAGGAGGGATGCCTCCCTGTGGAGAAAAACCAAGGAAAAGGACCTATGTCCTCCGTAGCCCCCTCACTACCTGGGGTACATACAGTTCTCACCACTGGGAACTCCTACAGTCGTCATAAGTGCTAAGCCAAGCTGAAGGAACTGCCTGGAGTCTATGCAGCTGCACTTCCTCCACAGAAGGACCCAATACTGTGCCCTGACTCCATTGCCTGGATGGCTACAGTGCTGTACCATCTCAGAACCAGCCACAGCACCTTTCCATCCCTGAGGCTTTGTCACTGCTGAACTGCCCGAACCAGGAGGCCCACCCTCACCAAACTAAGCTACTGCTTTACCCTAACCCATGCAGCCAAGCTGCTGCAGAACTGCTCGATCTATTGCTACTAGTTGCTGTTGTGCTCTTCCCCTCAGGACCTGAACTGAAGTCGAACACTACCTCCCAGGAAAATAGTGCCCTCGCTGCCCCGAGCAGTCATGCTCCCCAGGCCTGCACTAAAGCGTTGTGTCACCCCTCAGAGAATGGGTGCTTTGGCTGGGCTAAGTAGCTACACTTCCCAGGGCTGAGCTGATGTGATAATCCATGTCCCAGGGAAAGAGCATTGGCGGAGCTGAGATACCTCATCTGATAAGCCAAATAACTGTAGTACTCTGCCTCCCTGGAACTGGACTAGCTCCCTAGAGTCTGAGCTGCTGAGACATCAAATTCTCTGGAAATTGGATTCATCACTATGCTGCTCCCTGCCACCAGAGCCCAATCAACTGCAGTGCTATGCCACTCTGGAGTTCTTGCTGCCACTGGACCTGCTTCACAGAGTCTCTCATAAAACCATGTCTCACCATCCAGGGTCCAGAGTCATCACTGCCTTATCTCCTAGGGCCTGAGTAGCTACTGTGCCGTAGTGACTGATTCCCCAAATACACCTGTGCTCTGCTTCTGGGCTCACACCCAGAGCATCCCTCATTCCCTGGAGCAAGGGCAGAGCTTTGTTCTGCCCCCAGGGTCAGAGTAACATCTACAACTTGGCCTCTTAGGCCCAAGCTACTGGGGAGTGCCTCACAGTCACAACCCCATCTTTAAGGGCAGTCTACATACAACTTTGTCTCAGAGAGGGAACCTGAACCCCAAATCCCAGGATATTGGCTCCGTAACTGGTCTGAGCATGTGTGCCCTGGAAACCAGAACCAATATAGCTGCTTGTGGGCTGAGTCCTGACACCAAAGAGATATTGCCTCAACTAAGACTCCCCATTCTCGGGAAAATAAGAAGAGGAGGACTCCAAATGCCCTGGCCACCAAGGACCCTAACAATGTACACTGCCATCACCAATGCCACAAACTCCTATTGCCAAGGCCACTGAGGTACCCACACCCTTCACAACTGGCACACTAAGATCCACCAGCAGGTCAATGTCATAACCTATGAAAGCCAATCCATAATGTTCGGAAGAAATGATTGCTCCACCAAATGTGTAGACATCAAGGCAGGGACACCAGAAACATGAAAAAGCAAGGAAATACGACAACACCTAAGGAATACAATAATACTCCAGTAATTGACCCCAAAGAAATGGTGATCACTGAATTGCCTGAAAATAAATTCAAAATAATGATGTTTTAAAAAATGGAACAAGATACAACAGAATATGCAATTCAACAAAATCAGGAGCAAAATTCATAAATAGAACTAGGAATTCAGTAAAGAGACAGATATCAAAAAGAAAAAAAAGAAAAAAGGACCAAACAGAAATCTTAGAGTTGAAGAATTCAATGAATGAAAGGTAAATTGCAATAGAGAGCTTCAATAGCAGACTACATCAAGCAGAAGAAAGAATCTCTGAACTTGGATAGACCTTTTGAAGTTACCCACTCAGAGGAAAAAATTGTATAAAGAAGAGTGAAAGCCTACAGCATTTATGGAACACCATTATTCAAACAAACATTTATATTATAGGACTTCCAGAAAGACAGAGACAAACATGGGATGGAAGGCTTATTTAATAAAAGAATTGCTGAACACTTCCCAAGTCTTGTAAGATATATTGACATCCAGATCCAGAAAGCACAAAGGTTTCAAACGTATTCCAAGGAGGTCCTCCTGAGGTGTAGTATAATTAAACTGTCAAAAGACAAAGAGAAAATTTTACAACCAGCAAAAGAAAAGAATCAAGTCACATATAAGGGAATGCCCAATTAGACTATCAGCAATTTCTTAGTAAAAACTTTGCAGGCCAAAGACAATGGAATAATATATTCAAAGTGCTAAAACAAAAAACTGGCCGTCAAGAATACTATGCACAGCAAAGCTCTCCTTCCAGTAAGATGGAGAAATAAAGTCTTTCCCAGACAGGCAAAAGTTGAGGAAACCCATCATCATACCTGTCTTATAAGAAATGCTTAAGGGAGACCATCAAGTAGCAACAAAAGGATGCTATTTACTAACATAAAAACACATAAAAGTACAAAACTCACTGGTAAAGGCAAATATACAGTAAAATCCAAATTACTCCAGTACTGTATGATGTTCTGTAATTCATACACATCATTAATATAGAAGATTAAAAGTCAACACAGTCAAAAATAATAAGAGCCACAATAAGTTGTTAAGAAATACATAATACAAAAAGATTTAAATTGTGACAGCAAAAATATAAATAGTGGGGGGAGGGTAAAACTCTAGAGTTTTTGTATACAACTTATTAGTTAACAACAAGTTGTTATTGGTGTAAAATAGTCTATTATAATTATAAGATGATTTATAAAGCCTCATGATGAACCCAAAGAAAAAATTATAGCAGATATATAAACAATAAAGAGAAAAGAATCAAAATTAATCAGTAGAGAAAATCACCAAATCACAAAGATAAACAACAAGAGGAAGAAAAGACAAAAGACCTACAAAACAACCAGGAAACAATGAACAAAATGACAATAGTAAGTCCTTACCTGTCAGTAATTACTTTGAATATCAATGGATTAAATTCTCCAATCAAAGGGCATAAGGTAGCTGAATGGATTAAAAATACAGGCTCCAACTATATGCTGTCTACAAGAGACCCACTGTAGCCTGAAGGGCACACATAGGCTGAAAGTAGAAGGATCGAAGAAGATATTCTATGCAAATGGTAAGCAAAAGAGTGCAGGAGTGACCATACATACATCAGATAAAATACACTTCAAGTCAAAAAGTGTCACAAGAGACAAAGAAGGTCATTTATTTAAGGATAAAAGGCTCAGTTCAACATGAGGAAATAACAATTGTAAATATAAATGCACCCAACATCAGAGCACCTAAATATATAAAGCAAATATTACTGTATGTAAAGGGAGAAATAGATGGCAATACAATAATATTAGGGTACTTTGATACAGTTCTTTCCTCAATGGATAGATCAATCAGATAGAAAATTAATAAGGAAATAGTGAAATTCAACTATACTTTAGACAAAATGGACCCAACAAATATATATAGAACTTTCCATCCAACAACAGTAGAATACACATTCTTCTCTAGTGTATGTGGAACATTCTCCAGTATAGACCACATGGAAGGCCACAAAACAAGCTTTAACAAGTTAAAAAGTTCAAAATCACATCAAGAATTGTTTATAAGCACAATAGTATGAAAGTAGAATTCAACAACAGAAAGAATTTTGAAAAACTTACAAATATGTGGAAATTAAACAACATGCTCCTGAACAAACAGTGGATGAAGACAAAATCAAAAGGGAAATTAAACAATATGTTAAGACAAACAATAATAAAATACAGCCTGTGGGATATAGTAAAAGCAGTTGCAGGAAGAAAGTAATGGTAATATATATGTATATTAAAAAAGAAGAAAGAGCTCAAATAGCCTAATATGTGACAAGGAGCAAGAAACAGAAGAACAAACTAAACCCAAAGTTAGCGGAGGGAAGGAAATAATAAAGATGAGAACTAGATATAAATCAAACAGAAAACTGAAAAACCATAGAAAAACATAAATATGACTGAGTTGGGTTTTTGAAAAAATAAACAAAATTGATAAACCCTTAGCTAGACTAAGAAAAAAAGAGAGAACACTCAAATACACAAAAATCGGAAATGAAAGTGGAGACATTACAACAGACACCTCAGAAATAAAAAGGATCAAGACTGGCTGCTTGGTAGCTGTAACCAACCGTATTTGCTTACAGTATGGTGTTGTAACACTAAGGTCAAGGGTTTGGATCCATGTACCTGCCAGCCACAGGAAAAAAAAGTTGAAAAATTGTAAGTTGCACCATCATTAAGTTGGGGAGCAACTCTAGCTTACATATTCCAGGAGACAAAGGAACATTCCATTTTGACTAATGAGAAATAAAAAGGATCATAAGGGAATATAATGAACGATTATATGCCAACAGATTTGATAACTGAGATGAAATGGATAAATTCCTAGAAAAACATAAACTACTAAGGTTGAATCAGGAAGAAATAGAAAGCCTGAACAGACCAAAAAAATAAAAAGATTTAAGTAGTAATTAAAAATCTTCCAACAAACAAAAGCTGAAATCTACCTAACTTTGGAAAAAAAAAAAAAAAAAAAAAAAAAAATTAAAACCTCGTCATCATTTCAATTGATGCAGCAAAAGCATTTAACAAAGTTCAACATCCTTTCTTGATAAAAACTTCTAATCGTTTAGTTATAGAAGGAAGAACCCCCAACATAAAAAAGGCCACTAATGAAAACCTACAGCTGATATAATAACCAAAGGGGGAAACTGAAAGCTTTTCTTCTAAGATCCAATACAAGGCAAGGATGCCCACTCTCTCCACTTCTATTCAACATAGCACTGAAGTTCTGTCAAGAGCAATTGGACAATAAAAAGAAATAAAAGGTATCTGAATTGGAAAGGAAGAAGTAAAATTATCTCTATTTAAAGGTGACATAACCCTATAGGTAGAAAACTGCAAAGACTCCACACACAAAAAAGTTAGATCTAATAAACAAATTCAGTAAAAGCTACATGACATAAAATTCTACATACAAAAATCCATGTCATTTCTATAAACAAATAATGACCTAGCTGAGGGGCCGGCCCAGTGGTGCAC